AGCAGAAGCACTCCTTTCAGGCCACAATGGGTCTACACTTTCAAAAAACGCAGGTTCCCTTATAGGGTAGTGCAGGCGAGCAGAGATGTTAGAAGCTTTGTCGGCTATGTTCTTGGACAAATGCAAAAAAGGACGCGTACAACGGTGTGCAGCTCATTGGATATGGGTGGGCTGACCTGATGACCTTTCCTGGTCAGCTCAATTTGAGGCATTGACTTCGAAACTAACACGTTTGACGTGATGAGCCGCTTAGCCGCTATAGGCACTGAACCGCAAGGCTGGAGGCTTTTCACTATTACAGGCTGTTACTGTTTGGTAATTGTTATTCAAGTGCGCGATCCGATAGTTATCTACAACTTGAACTGTGGAACACAGCCTGAACAATAGACGCTTTTCGAAGAAATCAGCGGAACAACAAGCGGTCGAAGATAGGAGCTCTAGGAGCTGTGACAAATGTGCTTTTCTCATTGGTACAGAATGCTTCCGAAACGGTCTGGAATAGGGACGCGTCAACTAGCGAGCATCCATCAAATAATCGCGGATCGGGACTGTTGGGTTAAAAGATACAAATGATATTAAAACAATAAAAGTTTCACATGCTTAATAAAAAAATCCCCCCCCCCCTTATTCAACAGCACATTGCCAATTCCAATACGTATATATAACGCTAAAGGAGTTCTAGCATCCCAGATGGCAGCTACGCGCGGGTGGGTTGGAGCGTCGAATGGTACACATTACTGTGGACACCGCAATTGTGTATCCTTCTTAACCCGAGGTGGAGAGGGCGTGACTTCGCACGTCATTTCAACATCTGGGAGGTCGCGCACTTGGTCTGAATTTACCGAAACATGGTAAACACGCCTTTGTCCACCACAAAAAGGGATGACGACCACCTCTTCCTAATTACTCAACGAAAAGATCACTACGTAATACCAGCCAAGCCCTCACCAACTGCACTATATGAAGTGTAAATTGTCCTAAACTGATGCAGCGTCCAGTGTGTCAGATTCTCCCGACGCAACTAGCTGACGGGCTCTGCGATTGCACGCAAATATCTTCGAGGTTTCACATGAGTTGATATGACAGGCAAGACCGCTGGTACTTTCATACTGTCAATTTCCATACCACGCTACGACAGTTCAGAATATCTTCCGCTCTTTCACTGAGCCAACAATATGTTTCAAAACTTTCTAGAATGGTAACCTATATTCAACTGTTAACACTTCTATTACACACCATACACTTCTAAAATTGATAGCCTGGGTGAAGGTGAACAGCTGAGCCTCGTGCAGCCTAAGGACGTCCCGGATAAGGCTTTTTACCCTAGTCCTGTGATTGATCTTCATCGGGAGATTCTCATTGCGAAAACATGTTAATCACCCAGCCGACGGTGTGTAATATTTTGTGAAGGCCGTTGCAACGCGGAAATTTGCTGTATCAACGGCATTCATTCATTCCTATGAACTATCAACTGGTTTCCCGAGAACTGCTTTCAACCCTTTTATTCATGTGTGGTCATCTTCTTACAACTCGTAATTTCCTATAGTTCACACAATGAGAAATCCACCAAAAAATACGACTCCTTCCCTCAAACTTCTTCTTCAGGCACCTCCCTTTCCAAAGCTACTCACCATCTTCCCACCTCCCAAGGTTTCTTCCCAGTTGTTCGAGAATAAATGTCACTTCGCCTCAAAAGAGTACCGTCGAGGCGAAAAGTATATACCGCACATGTAAGAGGAAAACCGAGAAAGGACGAAAAATCGAGACTATTTTCTTTTCGAAGTCAACTAAGACCTCCCCACCGTTAAGTGTTCGAATATTACCCGCTAGCCGGGATCCCTAACGTACTGCGGGTCCTGCACACGAGGTTGACAAGTCACCAGAGGGAGCGCGATACTAGGAATGAGACATCACCTTTCGGATCTGACCGAACTTCCATCATTCCACCGTACGCGAGATGAATGTCCCTGCGTAATCTGGAAGAAACTAAAAGATCTTTCACAACGTGTATTTCAGAGAACCCAGGGGCTTCTCTCTTGCGGGGCCTCTTATTTTAGGCCTGAGCAACCGAACATCCAGTAGAATGACGATCACGAACTCAGGTCTTGATTGGAAGCCTCCTGCATACCCTACACTGTGGTGCTCTTTATTTTGGCACTGAATTGCCGAGCTATCTTTTCATTGACATTTTAGTGCATTTTTAGTTACTATATGTACTGAAGCTCGTAATCTAAGACGCCTTTCGCTTCACTTCAACATTTCCTCGTGAGACCTTATGTT